AAGAGGCATAGAAAATAATTTGAAGTGTTTCAGAAAATAAAACTAACTTCATAAGAATTTAAAAAATAGGGTAAATTTTAGAAAGTGGGGCGGGGGATATGGCTCAGTTATAGAGAGTTCGGCCAGTATGTGCAAGGGCATGGGACTGATCCCCATCACTATAAAAATAAAAAATAAAAATAAAACAAAAACAAAAATAAAAACAAAAATTTGTATGTGGCTGGAACCATCAACCATTCTCAGCTCCATGAAACATCTGTCAGGAGTGGTACATGCCAAGAGACTGGCAGCTCTGTTATCACTACTAGAAGAGGCTAATACTACTTAGAGCAAACTTGGAAACATATTCCAGTATTACTATTAAAACTGTAATAAGTTCAGTGGGAAATTGTAACACAGAACAATATTACATCAGTATTTATGTTCCTGTGTGATTTGAAATACATGGGAAAGGAATTCAACAAAGATGACAGGAGAATGGGAAATATAAAGTGAACATTGACACACAAAAAAAAAAAAATAATAATAATTTCTACTGATCTAAAGACTGGGTGCAAGAGAGGTTCCATATACATTCAGAAAACTCCAAAAGGTCAGTGAGAAAATCACTCATTCCTGGTTGAATATGAACTTATAAATGCAGGAAATAGAAACTGAATCCCAATGCAAAATTGTTAAGTTTCTGAAATTATAAGGCATCCTCTAATCAAAGACATATATATGACTTCTTTGCTCAAGATGAATAAACATGCATATTAACTGATCTCTAAATTATACTCACTCAGAAGTGATAGAGAGAAACTCAGTCTTACAAATACAAGCATGAACAATTTAAAATAAAGTGAGAGGAGTGCAGAGACATCAGCTACTGCATTCCATAAGGAAAACAGACTCAACAAAATCAGTCTAAGCAAGTTACAGAGAAAGAGTGACAATCCCCTTCCAAGTCGGCAACTTGAATCCACAAAGTCTAAAACATATTTCCAGATTGTTCAGTTTCAATCAAAGTTTATATAAGCAATGAAACCTGAAAGTGTGAAATGCACAGAGAGAAAAATAAAAACAGCAAGACACAGAGAGTAGACATGGTGGTTAGTGCGGACAACCTGAGAGGCCAGGGCTCCCTTCTTCACTCCAGCCCTTGTTTGTGGACTGAGGTCTTTTCCTGGTCCAATGGGTGTAGTACCTTGAGTTCTGTTTCTGCCTGAGTTTGCTGAAAGTTCTGAGGTTTACGTTGAAAAGAGCAAGAAAGGAGACTGGTGGATACAGACCATCCAGCATCCCATTCTAGAAAAGGTATCACTCTAGGAAAGGGAGGCTTCTGACCCTGTCAGCAGCCCTTGTTCAGTGGTGTTCAGTTCCACCAGCTCAGGGACAGGTGGAGGTGAGAAAGAAGGCCTTAGATTAGAGTTTACTCTGAAAAAACTGGTTTAACTTTGTTGAATGTGTGTGGTCCTAGGGATTAAACTCAGGGATATTCTACCACTGAGCTACTACCCCTGGTATTTGTATGCTTTATTTTGAAATGGAGTTTCACTAAGTTGCTCAGGCTGGCCTTGAACTTGCAATCCTTCTGCCTCAGCCTTCTAAGTAACTGATATTATAGGTATGTGTCACCTTGCCTGGCTAGAAACTGATTTAATTTGGTAAAGAAGAGAATCAGGCCAAAATTTGATTTAAAACACAATAATGGTCTTCATGACCACCTATTATTGTGCATCATTTAAAAATGTAAAAAAACAAATATATATTTGTATAGCTCTACGGAAAATATATCAATATATAAAAGTGAAGGCAGTCAGAGGATTATTAGCAATACAGAGACATGTAGCTAAGAAAAGTCTAAGATCACACAACCCTGTAATCCATTCCATAAGTAAGTCATTAAATGACATTGAATTTAAAATTTTTAAATTTTAATTACTTGAGCACTACTGAAGTTGGAGATACACATTTAAGTATTGTCCATGAAATTCTGATTGAGAGCTAACAGGGATATATTAAAGTATTTGGCCTTGTGAAATCCATATCATCTATCTGGCATCATTGTCAACACTATTCCAGGTCACACCAGCCCAGGAATATGAGTGCAATTCATTTGGAAGCTGATATATGGGGTCACTGTTTTTATTTTCTGAATATTTTTAAATAGTTGGGAGGGTCTACATAGCATTAGAATCATAATTCATAGAGATAGAAAAGTCAGTTGAAAGGACTTCAGAAATAATTTAGGTCAATTTCCTCTTTTTCAGTGGGGGGCCAGAGTTCCAGAAAGGAAGATTCATTATCAAGTACCACAGTGATTTAGAGGGGCATTGAAAATCCTCTTCACAGTGGGCTTCTAGAGAGAGGCAGGTAGTTGTCTAGGAAGATTAAAACATTGCTGTGCCTGATTTGAATACAGAATTGCATGTTTACCAAGTCTTTGGACATTATTTCTGCTCAATTCTATTCAATATACTTACACAGTCAATATACCAAAAGGTACCATCACATCACGTTTCGATTTAAGAATTTTAGTAGCAAAAACAAAGGAAGGCATCAAATGATAGAAGATTTACTGGAATATTAATCCATTACCTACAGCCATTGGTAATATTTTATTAGTGAATGTTATTTTTCATGATACTTGATACTTGTATGAGAAGGATGTGATTTAAAGTTTCTAAGAGAAGAAAATAAGTATTTCAATAAGTAGGCTATGATTTCTCAAATCTTTGTTGCTGTGTTGACATTTTTGTACAACACCATGATAAAAGAGGTATTATGGGACATAACTACAAGCTGATTTTTTAAATTTTTGAACTTTAGGATCTCCTAAGAAAATTCTAAACAATTTGTTTTTCTTTCTCAAAAATTCAGAGAGAGAGAGAGAGAGAGAGAGAGAGAGAGAAACAATGATAGAATTAAGAAAATCAATAGATTCTAGTTTTGAACTTCCAGTTATAGAACTTTGAATATTTTTTATTGTTCAGGTTCACTAGATCAAATAACAGTTCTAATACATACTTTAAATAAGTATTTAGATGCTGCAATACAGTGATGTCATATTGGAGGAAGATAGGTTAATTAAATGACTTGTAACAGCATCAATATTAGCAGCAATCTGTTAATGCCCCCTGGTTCTTGTAGGTTTTATGCATTTCAAAGTTTTCAGTCATGCTGCTGCTTATAAATATCACCTCTAAAAGAAATAAATTAAAGAAAATATTATACAGATGGAAACATTTAAATCCTTTTATTAAAAACTTGTATTCTAGGACTGGGGTTGTAGTTCAGTGGTAGAGTGCTTACCTAGAGTATGAGGTACTGGGTTCATTTCTCAGCATTACGTATAAATAAATAAAATTAAAGTCTATTGACGACTAAAAAAATATTAAAAACAAACTTGTATTCTTCATTGGTTTACTCCTTTATGATACAATTTAACATATCACATTGTACCACAAATGCCACCTTGAAAGACAGAGAGACTTCATTAGTATTCATTTAATTCAAGAATTTTTTTTTTTTTTTGGTGCTGGGGATTGAACCCAGGGCCTTGTGCATGCAAGGCAAGCACTCTATCAACTGAGCTATATCCCCAGCCCTTCAAGAATATTTTCAACCAGAAACATTTTAAAACATCAGCTAGAAAACCTAAGACATTCATTAGCTTTTAGCTTCTGTAGTTGTAACAGATACAAGAAGATTGTAATAAATAATTCATACATGGCACTTCAGGGCCATATCTATACTTTCTCAGCAAGCTTAAAGAAAAAAAAAATCTCAATTTTACAAAGAAGAAATAGACAAGTATCATGGACATGCACAGATGAATTCTGTCTTCTTCCAACATATTTACTATTCATGTTTTTACAGATTTATTACATCGGTAGTCTCAACTGTTTTATGTAGTTCATTAAAATTATAAAATTTATATGCTCAAGGCATAAACCCTAGAAAATTTCTATTGTTTTATTGACATATAACAGCACTGAAAGTGTCTTGTGTTTCAATTTTATTGTTTCTTTCCCCAATTCTTGTCACAAACCCAGCACATTTGTATTAGATGGCAGGGAGGGATCACTTAGTTCTTGCTCAAAGGACCCTCACAATCTCATTTGGGAAGCAAACTTTTCATACATAAAGGATAACTTTAGGAGAGAGTCATCTGTGATCTAGCAAGAAAAGGGGCATTTGAACCATTTGTTTCTCAAAACAAGACTTACCCTGTCAAGCATTCTCTAATTGCCACATTCTTCCTGGAATCCTTTTCTTTTTTCCAATTTGCATTTCTTTGCAACTCACATTCAGCATCTTTGTCCAAGGCAGTCTCTCTCCCGGATTTAGATATTTTGTTCTGGGTTCATTTCCCCAGTCTTTTGGTTTCATGAAAGTTTTGATGCTTATTATGAATTTGAGTATTAATTAATGGCCAATCCTTCCACTAGTTTATAAGATGTTTTGCTCTAAAAATGCCTAGATTCTCCATGAAAACAAAGCATTAAAATGCACAAAAGCACTTATTGAAAAAAAATTTTTAAAGATAGAGAGGAGAGAGAGAGAGAGAGAGAGAGAGAGAGAGAGAGAGAGAGAGAGAATTTTTTAATATTTATTTTTTAGTTTTTGGCGGACACCACATCTTTGTTTGTATGTGGTGCTGAGGATCGAACCTGGGCCGCATGCATGCCAGGCGAGCGCGCTACCGCTTGAGCCACATCCCCAGCCCCTTATTGAAAATTTGATGGATTTTAATTTAATTAAAATAATGTGTAAATTAAAGAGCTAATAAAACCTTTCAAAATTAGATCAGGAATTTATACCACAGGGAAATAACAACATATATAAATTCAGGGCATATAATGGAACATGATGGATTAGAGAATAAAACATTTTTTTTTATCATTCATTACTCCAAATTTGAAAATTGTTTTTTTTTTTCATGAACAATGACATACAATTTTAAGATAACAAAAATCATTATACATGTGAAAAAGGTGGAAGTTCATCATAAATATTTAGAACTGCATTCTATTTTTAAGCTTTTGCAGGGCCTCTTTCACATCCTTGTTGCGTAGGCTATAAATCAGAGGGTTCAACATGGGAATGACAAGGATGTAAAACAGTGATGTCATTTTGTCTTGATCTAGAGAGTAGGAAGAACTTGGCCGAAAATATATAAAGAATACAGCTCCCTGGAAAATTGCAACAGCAGTAAAGTGGGAGGCACAGGTGGAGAAAGCTTTGAGCCTCCCCTCAGCAGAGTGGATTTTTAAGACAGATGAGATGATGTAGCCATAAGAGACCAGGACAATAGAAATGGTACTCAGTTCAATGAATCCAAAAATGGTGAACAGTACCAGCTCATTGACCTGTGTGTCAGAACAGGAAAGGAGGAAAAGTGGTGGTAAATCACAGAAGAAATGATTAATCTCATTAGAACCACAGAAACATAAGTGGAATGCCAATGTTGTATGTATCAAAGCATCTGCCAGGCCTATGAAGTAAACCCCAGCCATAAGCAAGTAACAAACCCTGCCAGACATGTTAACTGTATACAGCAAGGGGTTGCTAATGGCCTTGTACCTATCAAAGGCCATCACTGCCAGAAGTACACACTCAGAATCTGCAAAGGTACAGAAGATCAAGAACGGCAGAGCACATCCCAGGAAAGACATTGATTTGTTCTTGGTGAATATGTCGACAAGCATCTTGGGCCCAATTGCTGTGGAATAGCAGAGGTCACAGAAAGAGAGGTGGCTGAGGAAAAAGTACATTGGAGTGTGAAGCTGGGGATCCACTCTGATTAAGAAGATCATTCCGAGATTTCCCAGAAGGCTAATGAGGTAAATCAGTAGAAATATGCTAAAAAGGGTCACTTTGAGGTCATCATTACTAGTAATTCCCAAGAAAATGAATTCATTCAAGGACGAACAATTTTCCACGTTCATTTTTTCTTTCTTCTTGTCTAAACTTAAAGAAATGATTTAAAAAATTAAAGACACATATTTAATCCTTACATACATCCAGAAAATATCTGTAAGGCCAAACACACACACACACACACACACACACACATATATATATATATATATATATATATACACACACACACACACACACATACATACATACATAGATATAGATATAGATAGATATAGATATACACATAGCTATAGATATAGATATAGGTATAGATATAGATATAGATATAGATAGATATAGATATCTTGTTTGGAGGATATATTCTCCAAACAAGATCAAGATTGATGTGTTAATCCTTAAAGAGACATTATGTGCTTTGACAATGATTAAAAATAAAATCTTGAAGTGTAGCTGAGAATAAGTGATTGCCATCAAGATGCCTTTCATGAGGGATCTGAGTTTTATTTAATTTATCTGGGTATTGCCCGTTAGGAGCTGCCACATAGCAGCTGAGCGCCCCCTAGTTTTGAGTGATGGAAATGTGGAGACTGCTATAGGAAGCAGGTGGATCTCCATCATTGCTCAGCGGGGAGTGAAGCAATGGGAGTGGGCTGCCTTCTTGTTCCTTTGTAAAAGAACCCCTTACCTTTTATGGATGGAAGGTTCTATGGAACAGCACTCCTCAATAAATAAGATGTTTTCAGGAATGCTCTCTCTCGCTTTTTGTCTGCCTCTCTTGCTTCCCTTGTGGGAGCTGGGGCTGAGGAGCTCTGGATGAACCCCAAGAAAGGGGTATTTTCTCTGTGTCTGATTATTTAACGCCAATCCTATTCATCTGGAGTAACCCTGACTGATTTAGTCCCGTGTGGTGGCACTTGCCCTCCTTTTCTTTAGGACATATATTTTTATAGGCTGAAATCTGAGTAAATCTTCAAAATGTCCTGGAGTAAACCCAACTCTTAGATGAGAGCAACTTATAGAACTCATTTTATGTTCTTAAAACCATTCATGTAGACAGAAAAAAATTGCAATATTACAATCCTCAAAATTCATGATTGGTTTTAAAAACCACTGCTGGTTCTAGCAACAATGGTCATATCGCTAACCTCTAAACAGGAAAATCATTATTCTACTCACCTTGGGCTGTGTGGTCTTTATTATCTAATTAGATATGAAAAAAAATACTATTTTTTAGAAATGTTTTATGATTTTGCCACAATGCTCATGGACTACTAACAGGGGTATTCTGGAGACAAAGGATGAGTCTCCTGATCATTCAAACAGAAATGCTAAAATAGATGGGGAACCACCATGATTTAATTAATACAACTGCATTATATCATATTTAAGTAAAATTTATATTACAAATAAAAACAGGGTGAGAAACAATAATAAAGATATTAACAGACTTATTTTCATTAAATATGTATGTATCTATGCATACACAATTTTCTATGGGTGTATGATTCTCAACTGAAATAGAAAGTGGGTTTCAATGTATGTGGATGGCTTTGTTTTGTTTTGATTTTAACCAAGTAACTATTGTATTCAGTTCACACGAACTTGCATTTTCACACATTGGATTTGCTTTGTGTCATTTCTATTATCTTTTCATAAAACAACAATAAAAATACTAAAACCCTTAAATTTATGTATATCCCCACATAATAACAAAATTAGTAAAAGTTTGTTTTTTGAATCCATATTTCAAAAGAAACAAGTACATATTACTTTGTTAATACTAGTTTCAATCAATCTTCTAGTTCTCAGAATACATTATTTTTATTATTAAAATTCAGAATTCATGGAACTACATAAGAAAGCATAAACTGATTCATTTACAAAACTCTAATTTGTTCCAAAGAGTTTTCTTTTCTTTTTTTTAACCTTATTGTTTTAAATTTGTAAACTCAGGAGCTTACCTAAAATGAGCTGTTCTTTAGTAACTGAGCACTGAGCAGGTAGCATTGTATTATAACAGGCTGCACTTGGGACTTAAACTCTCTGAGGTTATTTCCCTGAGGTTTTGGAATTATGCAAACAGGATTAATTGCATTTCTGGTTCTGTGCTGTCCCCTGTGGATGCATGAACATGTTTAGCAAATGTTTATTTGAAAGCTTGAACATACTCACCAAATGATCTATATCAGAATATAAATAGAAAATTAATTTTTATGTTACAAAATATTTTTTTCATATTTCATATATTTCCTACTAAAATGATTTGTAAAGTTATTTGCTTACCACATATTTACTGTTAGCCATTTTAGCTTGTTTATAATGCAGTGTAATGAAGAATAGAAGCACACTGGTTTGGGGGATTTTTTTTAAACCAATTGTATGCATGTGTGTAATGAAGATTCATTTAAAAAGTAACATATTTATGTATAAACCCTAATCTGTATCATTCTTGAACAGATGTAGCATAATCTAACTGACTCCCTGTTAAGTCATTTCCAGATCCATTCTATTGTTCAGTTTTCTTTCCATTTTTCAGAATTTCCAACTTTGTAATTGAGAATTATTACATTTCAATTGAGTCCTTATTGACAATTAATTCACACATTGCAAAATTAATATTTCTAAAGCAAACACTTTTTGACTTTTATTGTATTGGAAGGTTGTGTGTACTTTACACTCTGCTTGCAGAACAGTTTTAATCCCCTTGGTAAGAAACTTATACCCATTAGTACCAATCCACTAATGCTTCATGGCAGTGCTGAGCAAAAATAAATAAACTTTCTGATTCTATATGTTCTCCTGTTTTGGACAATGTCATTTTGTGGATATAATGCTATTTTTACTATTATTATTATTATTATTATTATTATTATTATTGTCATTATTATTATTATGACTATGCATCAATTAAAAGACAATCAGGGTTGTTTCTACTTTTGTCCATTATGAGCAATGATGTTATAGACATTCATGAAAGGTTATTTTTGTCAACTAGTATTGCCATATTTCCTACCTTATGTCATCCTTCCACATTTCACTGACCTTACAATAAATTCAGATTCTCTACATTGAACACTGTCATTTTGAATTAAGCTCAATTCAAGATTTTCTCTACTATATTTAAGGTTTTTTTTTTTCATATTTCCTATAGTTTCTACTAAAATGATTTGTAAAATTATTTGCTTACCACTTATTAAATGTTAACATTTTAGCTTGTTTATAATGCAGTGTAATGTAGAAATAGAAGCACACTGGTTTGGGGGATTCTTTTTCATACCAGTTGTATGCATGTGTGTAATGATGATTCATTTAAGAAGTAACATGAATGATTTGTATAAAAATGAGAGTTCTGAATTTATTCTAAGAATAATTTTACTTATTATTATTTGCACTTATTCTACACAAAATTGAGAATTACTAAAATTTTGACTTTAATATTCTGTAAAAATCCTGCAACAAAGATTGTGGTAAAATTATCCATATCACTTGAGTCTTAGTCTGCCATCTTGGTATCTGGTTTTATTGGGCTTCTTTGAATGGACCCCAGAGCTAACACTGCATCCACAATATCCTCAAGGCAAAGACGGTTATTGTCCTCTGTGTGTGTGCTGTTCAAGTGTTTCTTTATTTGGTGGCTTTGCCAGATATAGCCACAGAAAAGTTAGGAAAAGAGATCAGATCCAAACTCAATGATTTGTGAAAGGTCAAGAACTAATAATAAATTTGGAATGAGTAATTTCAGAATTATACAATGGGTTGATGATTATTTAGGCAGATTAAAGATGACTACACTTTTTGACACATCTGCTTTAGAAACACAGTACTTATTTATACTTCTTTGGACATTTTGCTTTCATTTAACTATTTGATCAACATAAAATGGCACAAAGACATGCCCAGTGACTCTGGAGGCTGAGACAGGAGGATCCCAAGTTTAAGGAGAGCCGTAGCAACTTAGTGAAATCCTAAACAACTTAGTGAGATCGTGCCCTGTCCCCCCTAAATTTTTTTTTAAAGAGCTAGGGATGTAGCACAGTGGTAAAGTGCCCCTGGTTCAATTTCCTAAACCAAAAAAGGGAAAAAAATGCCACAAAAAATACCATGTCAGGGTAGTTATAGTCTTTAACATATTATTATCATCTGAAAATCAAGGACTACTGATTATTAAAGAAGTTTAACATCCAGGGTGAACAACATGAGCTGTTTTGACAACATGGGAAGAAAAACAGGCTGTGATGACCCTGTTTTTCTAGCCATGTGAAGGTGACATGGCTAGGAAAAGACAATTTACAACCTAACCCAACTATCAGCTGCAGACCACAGTATGACCACAGTCAATACAAAGAACAACAACAACAACAACAACAAATAGCCCAATCATTGTCAGTTAAAGATATGCATTACAGGATAGTGTTTGTATAGAAAAAGATAATTAGAACAGTCTACAGAGAATATACTATGAGAGAAATTTTCATGAGAAAGGATTTTTAAATAACATGTGAGCATATATGGGATAATATAGTTATATTGTATATAAATATATATATATATATATTTATATATATATATATATATATATACACACACACATATATTGCATATATTCTTTCTATATATGTATGTGACCTCCACAAGCAGAAGAAGAAAATATTTGTAAACTGAGGTTTGACAGAAGATACAACCAATTTAAAAAAGCAAGCAAGTCAATAAAAAATGAGCAAAGCTTTTGTGTTAGTCAATGTTTTATAGCTATGTCCAACATACCTCATAGAATAATTTAGAGTAGGTAAAATTTATATTGGAGTCACAGTTTGAGAGTTTCAGTCCATGGCCAGCTGTCTCTATTGCTCTGATATTGAGGGGAATTAGAACATCGTGGTGAAATCACATGGCAAAGAAAGCTGTTCAGCTCATGAAACCAGGAAGAAAAGAGTGTAAGATAGGGGCCAGGGACAGGGTATAGTCTAAACACATACCCAAGAGACTAACTTCCTACAGCCAAATCCCTCCTGAATTGTGCTTATGCAGCTAAAATATTATAATCAATCTGGAATTCCACTAGACAACTTCT